GTGGCGCTATTTTCTAACATGAACAAAATGTCCAATCAAAGCGCAAAAATGAAAAATAATAGTTGGGATTTACTCATTCATAGCAAGTTCATTTTGTGAAATCTAACATCTAAATCTACAACCGACTAGAGAGGAAACACAGTAAGCTAAGAATTAATATTGTCTCCATGGCAGTTTCAATAGTCTTATAAAAGTTAGTGGACATGATTTGATAGTTTCATTGTCTGCCAACTTTGCCTAGAAGTTGATCAGTGTCAGTTTACAGAAAGGAATCGGTTTTGTGCTAACAACATGTGAAGACATCTAGTTGACGAGACAGTCACTTCTGATAATAATCTGCTATTCTGATACCTAAACGTCAATGAATTCTAACTTCCATTATAAAACAAGCAATAAAGGTTAATAAAGCAGGATTTAATGAATTCATCAAATTTCGGTAGAACTCGTCAGCTGAACACTCTACATACACGGATATATACTTTTGAAGTTACATTGGGAGATATAGGACTGAATACTTTACATACACGGATATATATAGTTTTGAAATTACACAGGGAGATATAGGACTGATAAGTAAATAAACTACATTGAATTAGTCATGCAGAAAGACAGGTGCGAATGTTTTTCCAGGTCATGTGCAGTTAGATAAGGAGAGAGAGAGTATGGGAGATCAAAATTAAGATAAATTGCATTACGCTTCAATTACATCACTTAGATAAACAATTAGACATTAGAGAATTTAACAAGAATTGCAACCAGAGGGATGTCAATAGTAATAGTTATAATAACAATAATATAATATAACAATAATAATAATAGTGTTGAAGTGGGTTAAGATAATGCTACTGATAAAGGATAGTTTTAAATGAATCAAGAATAATAATAATAATGAGAATAATAATAGTAATAATAAAATAATAATAAGAGGTAGAATTATAAGTAAAACGTATTACCATGGTAGATTCAGAGTCACGACCATCTCCTTTTGTACACAGAGACCTGGTTTGTAAACTCGAATTGCACAAGCCTCTGCAATTGCAAGCATCTTCTTGTTTCTTTGTCTGCTGACAATGGTGAATGACTTGACTGCGTCAGTATCATGCCCGTAATCCACAAGATGCTTTGTTATTGAGGATTTTGGCACTTTGAACTCAGCTGTTTTCAACCATTTTGGCAAATGCTCCGTCATGTGGGTAGACAATCTCCTTTCCGTACCACCTATGTATTTGCTTCCACAAACACACTCAAATTGATATACGCAGTTTGAAGTGTCAAGGATTAGCGACTGGTCTTTCCCAGATTGTTGAAGCACTCGCTTAGTGGTGTTAAGGAAAACAAGTTTTGCAGCATAATAAGTTCTCTTGATGGCTTTGTCGAGTCTTCGTTTGATTACTTCCTGTACATCATCTCCTTTGAACGGCAAGTTGATATAGACAGGTTTCTTCGGAACTGTTTGGATTGTTTTGCAGTGGATGTTTTCTTTAGAGTATTTATTAATGAACTTCTCGGGATATCCATTCTTAGATAAGATATCCTTCAGGGATTTTATTTCATACTCAACAGTACTGTCAGAACAAATTTTTCGTGCTCTATTGAACAGTGTTCTGACTAAGTTATTTTTGTACTGGATTGGAACAAAACTCTTGAAATGCATGTACTATCCTGTCCATGAGGACTTTCTAAATATAGATCTTTCGATTGTGCCATCATTCATTTTCGCCAGAAAAACGTCTAGGAATTTGATAGTATCATTTTCCTCGTGTTCTATTTTGAAATTGAGATTTGAATGGCATGAGTTGAATTTTATCAGCATGTCTTCGGCTTTTGATCTGCTTGCATAGGCAATAAAAATGTCATCAACATATCTTAGGTATAGATCCGTTTCTTGTATATGTTGTTGCAGGGTACCGGTTTCTAGGCGTGACAAGAATAAGTCAGCGAAAAGTGGTCCCAAGGGGCTTCCCATTGCGACACCATCAACTTGACGGAATAAACGCCCGTCGAATTGGAATTGGACATTTTTAGTACATAAAAGTAGCAATTTCCTCAATTCCGACGTTGGAATGGGTATGTCTTCAGCTTCTTCACATATGAAGTATCGGGAAATAAATGTTTCTAACTTCCATTAGTTAGTCATTATCCGTGGATGTGTGTCTACAAGTGGGAGTTAGTCGTCTAGTCTACTAGTCATAGCTGGTTCTTTCAAATACAGCTATATGGCGCTTCCAGGGTTTTAATGTGTCTGCCGTTGGTACCGTTTTGTGATGAAAAATTCAGAATCAAAACTTCCGGAACATTTCGTCAATGTTTTGTATACTACTTAAAATTAATAAGTAGTATATGTAAAACAAATGGTTTTACCTCATGGGATTCTTTTGCGTGAATGTTTGACTCATTTTTTTTAGACTGTTGAGTTTGTAGCTAACAACATATTTATTTAGTTGTTAGAATATGTCAAATAAAATCATTCTGAATGTGTTTGTTTGCAGTTACTTCAACGGGCCTACTGTCATGGATCATCATTAACGACTGAGAAGAATCGGTCAGCGGTAAAGCCATGCACTTAAAGTTTATTGTTCTAAATACCTTATCAAAATTTTAACGGGAAATTCTATTTGTCTGTCCACCACCTTAGTGGGTGGGAGACGGTTAATACATAGAAGCCCTATGGATAAGTATTCACAGAAATACAAAGTTGGGTTAACGCAATTCCTTCCCGGTTGACTTTCAGCAATGAAGGTTAAGTAAAGTGAATTGTTCCGGGAAGGAACATAGGGCTTCAACAGGACATCTCCACTTTGCCTGGTTTTCTGAAGTCTTCTTCACCTGACCTCACGATTGTCCATATGCCCTCACCTACTCCTGACACGATCTCCTCCATGTCACTCTCAAAGTGACACCCAACTTGTCGTTTCCCATTCGCGTTCCACTTTAGGGTTTACCTGGCGTGCGATGTCATCCAGCAGTCTCCTCAGAGGGTGCTCAGTCCATCTCCATCCTCTTGTGCACATTTTTTGAGCAATAAGTTCTGAGTTGATGTATTCCCAGAGTTTATCGCTGCTAATTCTTTCCGGCAACCAGATCCTCAATATGGAATCAGTGAAGTGGGTAGCTGTTAATAAAAGTTTGAAGTAGCCTGCTGGAAATGATTTTCGTGACTTGAGTGCCAAGTTTCTCAACCACATGGAAGCACTGACTGGCTCAACATTGGTATTGGAGATCCGAGTATTTCCAAAGTGATTTTATAGTGATACAGGTTTGTCTTGCCTTCTCCATCCTGGCTGGTTTTGAAATCCTCAACGATGCTTCCTAGATAAGTGAAGGAAGCGACATTTCAAGAAATAATATGCCGTATTACTGAGAGATCATTTCTTCCATGCTGAAGACTGAATAGTGAAATGTACTCAACAAAAAAAGCATGCTTCATATATACTTAATACATCCTGTAGTGAATTTGCATTAGCGAAAAACACTACATTGGCCAAAGTGGACAACGTCCCCTTCGTCTTCATATCCATGATCATAAGCTGACCGTCAAAAGACATTACATCCAATCCCTCATATCGCCTCACTGCATACAGACAACCACGGACATCAATTCGACTGGGACAACGTTCAAATATTAGACAGAGGAAACAAACCAAGAATGCCAGAGAATTTTTAGAAGCCTGGTATTCCAGTGAATTGTCAATCAATAGACACATTGACATAGACAAAATTTACCAATCGATAAAGAAGGCAATCTCACACATAAAGGGTCAAAGTTCAAATCAAGGAAACAATCAGTGCCAATACAAGTAGACTAGAAGGTGTGAAAACACACAGAAACAACCAATCACGTTCAAGGTGGTCACCAGGAGAGATGACTAATAGTGAACTCGTGGAGAAATCTAAAAGCTCACTTCAACAAATTGAAGTATGCGCTGAAGATGTTGCCCAGTGGTGGGGCAATGATGAAAGCTTCGCAAATAAACCACTCAGCTGCTCAGAGAACACAACCACATCAAAATCATTTGTGTGTGCGTGTCGCACAGTCATTGTCATACCTACAGGGACTTTAGTCTCATAATTTTGTGAACATATCAACTTATACTCAACCCTTTTGTATGAATTCATCACCTGAACGCATAAAATAAGACAAAAGGTGACGTCTACAGGAGATTTGAGTGAAGGTAGATAAGTTATCGCCAAATCAAATTCACCACCTTCTCATTTCTGACTATTTGAATGAGAAGAACAGAGGCGGCTAATTACGATCTGAATTTCCTCAATTAGTTGGTGGTGTTTTGTGATTTTGTATCATGTGCTCAAAAGAACATCTATAATTTCATATTCTGTTAGATTAGCTGTTTCAAAGGTGTTTTATCGATTTCTTTTTACTCAGCTGTAAGTTCCGTTGTGTCATTTGCACTGTATACTATGCGCGAAAACACCTTGAGATACTTTATCCCAACCTAGTCAGTGATAGCTGTCCATTATTTTCAGTTTTATAAACATTTGCCTAGCTCGGATTGATATGTCGCTTGACCTTGAAATCCGTTAAAACAAAAATGTCCGCACTTATTGCATCCTATACAATTGGTGCTATACATTCACTGGCCACTGTTTCATTAATTAAACATTGAACATCTTAAGTGTTTTAATGGACCATGCAAAAATTTAAAATTTAAATTTTAAGACATTTAAACAATAAACTTATCTACATTTTGATGAAACTGAATTTTAGAAATACATATATGTATATATTAATTTTAGTAAGTTAGTTGATAATTTAATCACATTCAACGTTAACACGCATAAACACAAATACACAATCTGATCCGAATATGAAGCCATTTACAAATCAAATGCAAGGATGACGCCTGGTTATGTATTAATCAGCTTAAGCATGGGAATGCCAGTACTTTGATTCTATCCATCCTGGTGGTTGCAATTGCAAACATACACACTGTTGACTTTTATTCCGTAATCCATTCACAATGCTGTCAGCGGAGAAATTCGGTTGAATTTCGATAACCTATCTAGCGATCTCATTCTCCCTGTAAAAACCATGCAAATATCAATTATATTATTGATTCCACTAATGTTGAATATCCCATTATCTTTTACACAAAGAAATTTCCCAGTAGTTAATAATGAACCCTGTCCATCTATGTGTAAATGTTCAATCAATCCAATCAGCGAAAACAGCAGCGATTCAATGTTCAATATGCGCGGGAAAATCAAATCTATGCATAGGGATGAGAAGAACTATTTCTATTATTCCATACTAGCAACCTGTTGGATAACATCTGACCTTATTTCTTTAGATTGTACATCGAAATGGAGTGTTCTACACTTACAAATATTAAATGATGGCAAGGAATATTCTGGAAATATCTTGAAGCATCCCAAAAATGTTCAAATTCAACCATCACTGGATTTATTTCAAAAGTGTAAATCAATTGAAAGACTCGCCATTTGGGAAAATAATCAAATTAATTATTTGCCGAGTAGTTTGTTTAAACCATTGACACATTTAACACGCTTGATAATTCAATTACCAACGCTACATCATTTACCTGATCATTTTTTATTATTTATGCCAAAGCTAAACTTTTTAATGATTTCTAAATCATCCCAGCTGAAACAAATATCACAGAGAACATTTGAACCATGTCCACGATATCTGAAAACAATATGGTTGTATGGGAATGGATTAGAGGATTCTCTGACAGTGGGATTATTCCACGCTTGTGATTTACACGAATTATGGTTGGGGGAGAATAAACTTCAGAGGATACCAGTGGGTAGTTTAAATGGTCTGATGAATCTTAAACACTTAAGGCTGAATAATAATCAGCTTCACGGTTCATTGGAGGAGGTTTTCGGTGTGCAGGTGGCAGGAATACGTACACCTGACGATAACGAAAGTCATGCTGGCCAGTATTCAGCGTTGAGTGATGTGAGAATGCTGAAATTATTAGATTTATCATATAATAAAATAAAATCGATTGAAGGCTATCAATGGTCAAGTCTATGCTCTGTTGTGCACAATGAAGGTCTTTGTTATCTGGAAGAACTTCGACTGGAACACAATGAACTTGTCTACCTTGCGCCTTATGCATTTAATGGCCTACCAAGATTAAGAAAATTGACACTGTCTGATAATTTAAAGTTGTACACACCAGAATCGATTATGAGTTTAACTCTATCGTTGCACAGCTTATCATTCTCCACAAAATACCTAAATGAGGTATTGATTACAGTGAGAAGTGATACACTGGAAGAGGGAGATAGTAGTACTGGTACTACTACGGCTACACTAAATATTTGTCAACCAAGCTTGCCTGAGTCTAGAATGTTACTCTACAAGATGGATAAATGGTTGAGATCAATCATTCTTCAGATAAATCGTAACAATTGTCATAAACAAGGTGAATGGGACAGGAAACTGTCTACACAAGAGGCTGTCTACAACGTTGTCTCTGATCAACCACCTTGTCTTTCAAATACCAGTGGACATAATACACAAGTTCGGGATAACATCGTCTCAAATGAAAATGCATCAAACCACCGTAGCACAATTATGTCATATGTGAAACAGTCAACAGAAATGGAATTGGCCTCATTATTTGTTGGTCTAATATGCTTTGGAGTTATCCTAGGCTCATCAGCTGTTCTCATCACATGGTATTTAACTAAACCAAGAAAATCAACTGGTAAACAGAAATTTAAAGCAATAACACAACCACAACAACGAAAACAAAATAGACCCAGTGAAAATTTTCTGCCGCTATCTCAGATTACTCCTCACCACCACCACCACCAACAACAACAACAACAACAACAACCAACTCATCGAAATGTATTGCATACTTCGAATTATATCTATCCATATCATCAAGTGTGTTATACGCCAAATTTCCAATCCACTGGTAGTTCAATGGTTTCTCCATTAGTCAATCGTAATTCATGTTGTCAGTTGCCACCTAATAAACTGTTTCTTCAACATATTGGTGGCACTTCTTCATCGAAAATCAAATTCGCCAAATCTTTATCAACAACCTCTGCTGTTGTTTCATCCCCTGGTAGGATGACGATGATGAGGAAACAGCCTGATCTACTGCCATTATGTTCACCAACAATGGAAACTAGTATCATTTCAGAATCTGTATATAGTTTAGTAACACAGACATCATCAACTAGTAAAATGAAATGAATGTGATGCAAGTAAAAATCGATAAGTTAATTTGAAAAATAATCAATATCGAACACATATACAATATAATTTAAATAAAAATAACATGTTAATATTTTCAATGAAAAATATAAGTAGGTTGTTTGTTTGAATGGATGAATGAATATGCCCCTGTTTCAAATCACCTAGGTAACCAGGATATTATATGCAATTTAAACAAAGTGTATCCGTGTGAATTAGATATAGATAGTGCAGAAATTAGATAACGTGCTTTCAATATAAAACGAAAATCACTGCGTATGGACAAGTTGATCATAAAGTGAGAATTTATGTGAATTTCAACTTTGTTATGGTTATTGTATGAGAAAAACTTGAACAC